GGGGGGAGGGTGGGGGAGGAGAGGGGAGAGAGGGGAAGGGGAGGAAGAGAGAAAGGGAAAGGGAAAGGGAAAGGGAAAGAAAAAGGGAAAGGAAAAGGGAAAGGGAAAGAAAAAGGGAAAGGAAAACAGAAAAGAGAAAGGAAAAAGGAAAAGGAAAAAAAAGGAAAAAAAAAGGAAAAAAGGAAAAAAAGAAGGAAAAAATGAAAAAAGAAGGAAAAAAGAAGGAAAAAAATGAAAAAAGGAAAAAAAGAAGGAAATAAAAAGGAAAAAAATGGGAAAAAAAAGGAAAAAAAGAAGGAAATAAAAAGGAAAAAAAAGAAGAAAAAAATGGAAAAAAGCAAAAAAGAAGAAAAAAGGAAAAAAAGGAAAAAAGAAGAAAAAAGAAGAAAAAAGGAAAAAAAAGGAAGAAAAAGAAAAAATGGAAAAAAGGAGAAGAGGAGAAAAGAAGAAGGAAAAATAAAGGAAAAAAGAGGGGGAAGGTGAGAAAAAATAAGAAAGAGAGGAAAGAAAGAGGAGAAAAAAATAAAGGGAAAAGAGCAGGGAAAAGGAGGAAAAAGGGAAAAGGAAAAGAGAAGAAAAAATGGACAAAAAAAGGGAAAAAAAATGAAAAAAAAAACCAAAACAGGGAAAAGAAAAAGAAAAACAAGAGAAAAGAGAAAAAGGGAAAATGGAAAGGAAAAATGAGAAAGAAAAGGAGAAAAAGAGGAAAAAGGAGAAGAAAGGAGAAGGGAAAAAAAAAGGGAAAACCCCTAAAAAGTTCCCAAAGTCCCCCCAAGCCCCTCCTGACCCGTGCTGAAGCCGATCAGCGCCTTCTCGCCGCCGTCGAAGCCCGTGATCCACCAGGCGTTGATGGGCCCCAACTTCTTGGCTCTCACCCCACCTGCAGAGCCAAAACCAAATCCGGAGCAATTCCCGGGCGGGGATCCCGGATTTCCCCGGAATTCCGGGCGTTTCCTCACCGTCCAGGCAGGGGTTGTCGTCGTAGATGGGTTTGACGACGCCGCTGAAGTAGAGCTCGATGTTCCTCTCGATGAGGCCGGTGTCGAAGGGACACAGATGTCCCCTCTTGTCGTAGACGCTGCCGGGGAGGGGACGGGGAGGGCGTGGGACGCCGTTCCGGAGGGGATTCCGGAGGGAATCCCGCCGGGATCTCACCTGAAGGAGGTGACTTTGTGCTGGGGGAGGTCCTCGTAGCTCTCGAAGCCGTCCTCGTTGGCGTCGAAGATGGACAAGCGCTCGTCCGTCAGCATCTCCGGCTCCTCCAGCTGCGTTTGGAGGGGGAGATTCCATAAAAAACCGGGATTAAGGGATGTTCCCGCTCTTCCCGAGCTCAGGGAAGGAGGGTTCGGATCCCTTACGGCGTCGTCGGGGTCCCCTTGGAAGAATTTGAGGTCGGGGTCGTCCAGGTACTGCCGGCAGTCGAGGCATTTTGGGGGGGTGGTCTGCGGGAGAGGGGAGGGGAGGGAGGGTCAGATTTTCCCGGAATTATTCCCGGGATTATTCCTGGAATTATTCCTGGAATTATTCCTGGAATTATTCCCGGGATTATCCCAGATTTCAGCAAAATCCGTGGTTTCCCCTCAGAACCTGTTTGGTTCTGGGGAGCTGAACGTGGGATAATCCACCCTTGGGAATAATCCCAAAATAATTTCGGGACTCATCCCAAAAACCCCCCAGAATTCCGGATTTTAAGGAATTAAAAAATCCCCAAAAAAAGTAAAAAGCTGGAATGAGAAGGGAACTCACTTTAGCAGGAGCAGTGATTTTAACCTGAGGGATTTCGTCTTTGATTTCCAACCTGGGAGGGAAAAGTTAAATCCTGGGGTGAGGACGGGGCAGTGACGTCATCGGTGTCACCGTCGCCGTCACCGGGACGCGGCGCCGGCCGGGAACGTCCCCGCGCTCCTCACCCGTCTTTGGTTTCCATCTTCATCCTCTTCTCCTCTTGGTCCTGGGGAAAAAGACAAAGAAATGGGAAAAGGAGCGGGAAAAAACAATCCCAGGGTGAGCAAAGTGCCAGGATTTGTCACAGCAGATCAAAATCCTGGGAAATCACCCCAAAAATGAGCCAAGGAGGGTTCTGGGGTGTCAGCACTGATTAAAATCCCAGGAAATCACCCCAAAAACGACCCAGGACAGGTCTGGGGTGTCAGAAATGACCAAAATCCTGGGAAATCACCCCAAAAACGACCCAGGACAGGTCTGGGATGTTGGAAACGATCAAAATCCTGGGAAATCACCCCAAAAACGACCCAGGACAGGTCTGGGATGCTGGAAACGATCAAAATCCTGGGAAATCACCCCAAAAACGACCCAGGACAGGTCTGGGATGTTGGAAACGATCAAAATCCCGGGAAATCACCCCAAAAATGACCCAGGACAGGTCTGGGATGACACCACCCACCTTCTCCTCCAGCTCCTCCTCCTCCTTCTCCACGCTCATCAGCTCCGGCTTCGCCTCCCCGTTCGCCTCCTCCGATTTCCGCTTGTTGGACCTGCGGGAGGAGCCCGGGGTTGGGGCGTTCGGGGCGGGGTTGGGGATTTCGGGGTGAGGAAGAGGAGGGGGAGCCTTCACTGACCCTTTGGACAGGAGGCTGAGGATGGACGGCTGCCGGCCGGAGCTGCGGGTGACGCGGGCGCTGGCCGGAGACTCTGCCGGGAAAAGCGGGGTGGATCCCAAACCCCTTCCCGAGGGGATCCCCCCGGGAACTGCTGCACCCCAAGGCCAGGAGAGCCCCAAAACTCTCCCAGGGGGACCCCAAAACCCTTCCCAAGGGGATCCCAGCTCTCGATCCCAATGGGAATTGTCACACCCCAAAACCAGGAGACCCCAAAACCCTCTCCAAGGGGACCCCAGTTCTCAATTCTGACAAGAATTGTCACACCCCAACCCCTTCCCAAGGAAATCCCGTTTTCCCTCCCAATGGGAACTGCCACACCCCAACCCCTTCCCGAATTT